GTGAAGTCATCGCTCTGGGACGTGATTGTTTGGTGGGAGGCTGAGGGGCGGGGAAAGGCAAAGCGAGCGTCAGGTAGAATGAGGCACAGCAGAATGGAGATCTAGTGACACCTGAGCATCTACCGGCTCTCGGTTTAAAGCTTTGCGTAGGGTGACAGCACTGTGGGAAGAAATAAGGGCAGTCGGAAAGGGTAAGACTGCAATTCAGTGTTATTTTGTGATGAAGTAATACTGGCGGTAGGAGTTAAAACTGTGCTGGTTTGGTTGACTTGGGATACTTCAGCTTTGTGTGTAATTATATAATTGTCTATGCAACGGCTGTGTGTTTATTATTTGTGTTGAGTTACGTAAGATCAGTAGCCTCGGGTTGCTTGTCTACTGTGATAACCTAGAAAACCTTTCAAATGCATTGCATGCAGACTCAGATAAACATTCAAATGCATGAACAGCACTGCATTCATGTTCTTCACTCAATTGAGCTTCAGCTAACGTTACTGAGCATGCTTTAGATCTTTAGATGAGTCGCTGCACGATGCAGAAGCCTGAAGAATACGTATTGGTGACTGGTGATGAAAAATTCAGCAGGTTTGAAATAGGCTCAGGTCCATCCACATTGTATAGAGGTCAGCTAGCCTTTCAAGCAGCGATTTCCCTGAGGTATGATAATCAAACCATCTGCACTGGGCTGACTCGAGTTACACTGGGAGTAACTCTGCAGGGAGGACAGTGCTTTAGACAACAATGCAAATTGGATGCTGGAAGGACATGAATGGATAATACCATCCTCAGGGCCGGCGTGAGAAATAAAAAGCCACAGATGACAGAATTCAAATTCTTTGTCATGGTTGTTTTTATATTGGGTGTATTTGCTTTCAGATAGAGATCGATATCAATATAGAAATCAATATTGCTTTTGTTTGACCGAAATGTATTGTTTTGTTATTTATTATTATACGAAAGGTACCTTAATTTTTTTTTTTTTTTTTTATTTCTAGAAACTCTCGAAACCGCATCCGTGATTGCTGTGATGACATTTCCGTACTCCTAAAGGCAGGTGGATAAAACTGGTTTTAGATCAGTGATGAAGATTCGATATCATACACAAGTGAGTGACGGCTGCAGAAAGTGAAACCATTCGGTGCATTGACACTGAAACAGCATTCAAGGGGTCAGCCGGTCTCTCTTGTAGCCTGCTGTGTTATTTGCCTCTGTGAAGCTTAGAAATCTATGTTAAGTTCAGCTTTTGTGCCATGAAAAGTCTTTTTGTTTTCAGGCAAATCAGCTGGAGTCACGTTAGGCTTTGCCACATGAACACAATGGGAATTATTAAGAGTTTATGTGGCTTAATGTGTCAGGATTGCCTGAAGCAATATGGGATGAAAATTCAGATTTCTTCTTGTCCTAGAATTGTGTTTAAAAAATAGCAGTGGTTTGTTCCATTTTCAAACAGTGAAGGAGAATTTTGTCTGACAAATTATATGACAAATTTCACACTGACATTTCTAATGCCCGTCTCATAAAAAGTCAATATAACCACTTTTTTATGGCGTGTGTGTGGGCAGGAGGACAGTATTCAAATATGTGAAGGTGACATGACATTTCAGTGACAATAGTTTCCTCAGTGTGACATGCTATAATTCATCTAGAACTATGTTAAACATTTCCTGTATTATAACAATTAATAGTTTTTTGTTTTATTTTTATAAGCACATAATATTTGAGAGACTACATAATGTATTTGCTACAAATTGATGGTGTAAAATAGTCATTAGATGTCTAAAATATACACTCCCTGACATATATAAGAATTTAAACCTAAAATTGTGATGTTGGTAAAACAGTTCATAGACATTATTTGTCACTTACCCATGTTCTAGTATATTTTCATGTATTTAATATATTCAATAAAATGTTTAATATATTTAATATATTTATATAATCCACCATGCCCACTGTAAAATAATAATAATAAAAAATTAAATGATTAAAACAGTTTACCTAGTTCCCATCATGCTTTGCTTTAGACTGTATAAGGAGTATGGTTGCAAAGGGGTGGAAAATGTCCTGTAAATTTTCGGAAACTTTCCAAAAATCCCTGGAATATTCCAAAAAATCCTGAAAAGTTTCCAAAATTTCTGGAATGTTTCCAAAATTTACTGGAAATTGTCCACCTTTTTGCAACCCTAATAAGGAGAGTAAATGTTAAAATGGAGTGTTATGAAATGTGTTTTTACACGAATTATATAAATAAAAATGTGTGAGTGTAAGTGATAATGTTCTGTTTTGTCAGGATTTAAAGTTGCTTCTGCTGTGTTAAAGTTTTGAAGGTTATCATTGCACTGAAGATTAGAGTCTGTGGTTAGGTCAAAGATGGGCCAAAAACATGACTTTATTTATGCTGCATGCTGCTTTATATAAAACACAATAACTGTACACATACCAATGTAGTGATAATCTTTTTGCTAGTTATATTAAAGGGATAGTTCACACAAAAATGAAAATTAGCCTATTATTTACTAACCCTCAAGCGATCCTAGGCGTATTTGACTTCCTTCTTTCAGATGAATCCAATCGGAGTTATATTAAAAATGGTCTTAGATCTTTCAAGCTGTTTAATGGCACTCAGCGGGTGTTGCAGTTCATCAGTCCAAAAGAAGTGAAATAAAGCGCATCCATCCATAATAAAAAGTGCCTCACACGGCTCCGGGGGGTGAACAAAGGCGTCCTGTAGCGAATCGATGTGTTTTTGTAAGAAAAATATCCATATTCATGTAGCTTGCGCCAACAGTCCTACACGGAGGATGACGTATGAGGTCAGCGTTGCGCATGCGCCGGTGAGTCTCGTGAAAACTAAC